AGGCTACATTCCCATGAACAGAATTGCTGAGTCAAAAGGTTGACATGTTTTTTAAAGGTTAGATACATATTAGTGAAAGTCTTCTAAGCCTCTCTGATCTTTGTAATTCATTGTTCCTTTCTAAAAATGTGTAACTGTCTTCTGAGTTCAAGGATAGATTTTTTTTTTTTTTTTTTAATTAATACGGGGCTTCTTGTTCTCCTTCCTCCCCTTTCCTTATTTCTTCAAAATGTTTAACAAAATAATACATTTTCAAAAGGCATTATGCTTTATCTTGTCAGTATTTCCAGTACTTTGTGTCTCCTGGACTTTATGCAATGGGAGTGTATGCACAGATGGAATATGTTCAACCATTTGGCTTAATGACAATTTTTCACACCACTAATTTTCTTTCTTTATTTTGTTTTTTCTTTTAAGCCTCACAAGAATTGAAGTAACATATATAACATATAATAATTTTGTTTTCTTGATTTCAATATATGTAAATTAGGGGGGACTGCCTGGTAAGGATGAATGATGTGTCAGAGCTCTAGAAGACAAAGCTCTCGCCTCTGCCTCTGACTTGTTTTATGACCTTGAGGTAACCACTTAATCATTCTGCATTTCATTTTCCTCATTTGCCAAATGACAAAGTGAACTAAATGACCTTGAAAACCTATTTTTTTTTTAAGTGTCAGTCTATCCAAGACTCAAGTTGATCTTTGAAAAGTATTGTTTGAAATTAGGGCAAATACGTGTATGTGTTGGTTGGGCAAAGTTGGAGGCACTAAAGATTGGTTTCAACATATTAAAAATATTTTGTGCTCTGACGCTTGACCAAGGCCTCCTAACAGTGTGCTTTAGTGGTTTGTGAAACATATTTCTAAGGCCAAGGTAATTATAGTTGTTCCACTGAAGCTTGACAAATGGCCCCTCACTATGAATTCTTTTATGGGAAAGAAAAACCTTCCATGACAACAGCCCTGGAACTTAATGACAGGCTGCAGATCTGGGGGCAAGAATAGAGACAGTCATTGGCTGCAGTCAAGAGAGAGAAGACAACAGCATGGGCTCACCTGGGAAGAATCAGGGCAGAGTGATGTAACAATAACAACGACGACATTAGTGGGGCTCTACTGAGAACTTGCAGAAAAATATAAAAATTTGACAGGATGTTGTCCCAATAATTTCATATACACTATCTCATTTAATTCCCACAATGCGGCCAGTCGCAGTGGCTCATGCCTGTAATCTCAGCACTTTGGGAGGCTGAGGCGGGTATATCACAAGGTCAGGAGTTTGAGACCAGCCTGGCCAAGATGGTGAAACCCCGTCTCTACTAAAAATACAAAAATTAGCCCGGTGCGGCGGTGGACACTTGTGATACCAGCTACTCGGGAGGCTGAGGCAGGAGAATCACTTGAACCTGGGAGACAGAGGTTGCGGTGAGCCAAGATTGTGCCATTGCACTCTAGCCTGGGCAACGGAGCAAGACTCCATCTCAAAAAAAAAAAAAATTCCCACAATGCCCCTAAGAGATAGGTCATGAGGTAGGTACTTTTATTTTTTCTGTTTTACAAAGATGAGCATTGGGAGGTTCTTTAAAAACGAAGCTAGATAACCTCCTTCGAATTATTCAGCCATTAGTTGTCAGAGATAGGATTTGAACCCTGAGAGTTCATTCATTCATTTAACACGTTTGTTTTGTTTTGTTTTGAATGCCTGTTATGCACCAGGCACCCATCTAAAGGCTGGTGACACAGAAGCGAATGAAGCAAAATTCCTGCTTTTATGGAGTTTGGCTAGTAGAGGATGAGACCAGTCATAACAAACCAATAAATCAATAAATAATTTCAGAGGGCCATAGTGCTATGAAGAAAAATCAGCTCTCTGTGAGGAGAGTGACTGGGGCAGAGGGAAGGTCACTTTACAGGATCTTGGCAGGGAAAGCCCCTGGCTGGTGACGTCAAGCTGAGCCCTATGCGATGGAGCCAGTGAGCCATGCAGCGAACTATTGGAGGGCATTTTACCTGCAGAGTCCATCAGAGCAAAGGTCAAGGACTCAAAAGAGCTTGGCTTGTTCTAGGAACAGATAGAAAGCCAGTGTAGTTGGATGATAAATGAGAAAAGGGAAAAATGTCTGCAGTGGAGTCAAAGAGGTGGGCAGGCTCCTGATGATGCAGGACCCATGGGCCACAGTAAGATGCCTGGATTTTATTCCACGTGCAGGGAAGGCCTTGAAGGATTTTACACTAGGAAGTGTTGTGATCTTCAGTCTCTGCAGGCAGATTTCTTCCTCTAGGTTACGTTGCCAACAAGGAGCATCTGAAACGGACTAGGTTGTTTATGTAGCCCACAGCCTAAAGGAGTATTAACTTAGGGGCCAGCGTTTCAGACGAAACAAAACTGTAGGGTTTCCACAGAACAACAAGACTGAAATGGACAGCTAGAGGTCTCCTTAGCTGAACTTCTGACTTTAGGTAAGAAGACCTTAGCAGATCCAAGTGGAGCATCTGGACTATACTAAAGACCTTCAGAAAGGGAACTTCATCTTCTGTCTTGAGACCTTCCCTGAGTATATAGAAGGCGGTGCTCTAGATACTGAACTTGTTTGACCACTTCTTGGTCTGGAGGTTGTGCTTGCCTCATAGAATAAACCTCATCCAAAATAACAAGACATTACAGCTTTGAGTAGGTGGCATCTCAGGGATTTGCATTTCTGTGTAATCTATCGTGTGTGTGTGTGTGTGTGTGTGTGTGTGTGTATATGTATGTGTGTATCTATTTGTCTTTGAAAAAATATTTTTGAAGATGCCTTCAACATTTTAACATAGAGAACCGGGGCACGTTGGCTCATACCTGTAATGCCAGCACTTGGGGAGGCTGAGGCAGGTTGATCACTTGAGGTCAGGAATTCAAGAGCAGCCTGGCCAATATGGTGAAACCCCATCTCTACTAAAAATACAAAAATTAGCTGGGTGTGGTGGCACATACCTGTAATCCCAGCTACTTGGGAGGCTAAGGCAGGAGAATTGCCTGAACCTAGGAGGCGGAGGTTGCAGTGAGCCAAGATCATGCCACTGCACTTCAGCCTGAGCAACAGAGTGAGACTGTCTCAAAAAACAAACAAACAAACAAAACAAAAAAGCAAAAAGCAAAAACAAAGGGCCTGGCATTTCTGATGAGGGAGCATTGTATGAATGGGACTAGAATTTGTTTTGCAAACTCAGCAACTTGGTTAATTTTATTTGAATGCTCTTTATAAACAAACACTCATGTTAACCCATTGAAATTGATTTATGTCACCTATGGGATGAAATTAATTGGTTGGGTTAAAGTCTCACTATTATAAGACACTGTTCTCTTACTTTGACAAAAATATTCAGAGTTAATGAACACATTGATTTAGCAAAACCCAGTTTGAATAACGTGGTAAACCATCACTAATGCACTGACTGTGTGTGTGCCTAGGTGGCCGACTATCCCTCTGTAGGTTCTTGACAATTCAGTCCTAACAACACAAATTTGTTTGTATGAAATGAGCATGAGAGACATTTAGTTGAGCACTGTGATATGGTGGGCCCCAGAGAGCAAGGTAATAATTGTGAAAGAATTCAATTTAAGCTGCACAAGTGAGTAGGATTTGGGGAAGAATACTACCCTTGAATTAGTTTTTATTTATGAAGAGCCTATTTGTTTCTCAGGTGGAAAAACATCCTCAAACCACCTTACTTCATGAGTGAGGTCAGAAAAGTCGAATGGAGCCGGGTGCAGTGGCTCCTGCCTGTAATCCCAACACTTCAGGAGGCTGAGGCAGGTGGATCACTTGAGGTCAGGAGTTCAAGACCAGCCTGGCCAACATGGCGAAACCCCACCTCTACCAAAAATATGAAAAATTGGCTGGGTGTGGTGACACGCGCCTGTAATCCCAGCTACTCGGGAGGCTGAGGCAGGAGGATTGCTTGAACCCAGGATGTGAAGGTTGCAGTGAACCGAGATCATGCCACTGCACTCCAGCCTGGGTAACAGAATGAGACTCCGTCTCAAGAAACGTTTAACAGGACAGGAACACAAGGACAAGGGTAGTCTAAGGGCAGGCTGTGTGGTGCACCAGAGGTAGAGGATGACGAGAACAGAGTTTCCATGTCTAAAGGTGCTGAACTAGAAAACTCTCAAGGTTCCCCCACATCAACATTCTGTAGTTTGGCAAAAAAGGATTTTTTTTTCTCCTATTTGAGTTAGAGCATGGTTTCCCAAGGCCTTATAGCTGTGAGTGCAGGAGGACTCTAACAACTGCATCAGAATTATAAATTCAGCTGTCAGCATTGGGATGGTTGAGTTGACTGAACAAGCAGGTTTTCTCTCATTGTCTGTTTCCTAGATGGATGAATAACAATTTCAGCCTCTCCACTTTGTTGTAACTCTGTCAGTCTGACATTTCTGATTGCTGAGAGGTTTGTGGAAATTTTCTAAGTCACACATTGGAGTTAATTCAAGGAGATAATGCAATTCCAATGGAATCATCAGTGTCTCTGCTGTCAGATCGAGTATTTTAGGAGTTCAGTTGGTTGAGTTGCACAACTCTACAGATTTAATACCACATACTTGCCGCTTTGCGTCTTGCCCTCAAGTCTTAATAAATGGGCTAAAGGTCTGATTGGAAACTGTGAGATAAATTATATGTTTACTATGCCAAGTTAAGTAAATACCATTTGAAAGGATTACTAGAGGGTACAATCAAGTTAATTGCTTTAAAAATCTTTTTTGATTTACTGGGCTCTATGAAAATTGTGAAGCAATTGATCTGCCACAGTACATGAGCTGAAGAAAGTGGTGCTGAGTCCACAAGGTTTCCATGCACATCCCCTCCCCGGTGCCTGGAACTGCCCCCTCAGTGAGAAGAGAGTCCCCCCGAGACCCACATGCAAGTACTGCAGACAGACTGTTGTTCCTCCAGAGAAGACACACGTTGACAGCTTGACGTTCAGACTGATGATGGATTTCTTTTTTTTTTATTCTAGATGCTGAAGAATACCAGCCTCCAATATGGAAATCATACCGTGAGTACCTGAAATGAAAATCTCCCCAGAAGTCTTTAGCAGGCCAGCCTTTTTGAACAATTCTTGGCAGCGATGTGGTGCACACAAGTGTTCCCACCTCACAGCGTTGAAAACTCAAATCTTTCTTTCCACTGAGGAAAAAGATTAATCAGAGAGGATTAACTGAGCCTCCTCCTCTTACCAGGGGCTCCAAGAACCAGCTGTGGCCCATTGCAGAAATGCTTGGAAGACAGGTGGACTTTCTGACTCTCTGCCTTTCAGTTTGGGGCTTTATTTTTATTTACTTTTTTATACCGTTGATTAGCAAGTGAGAATGTGTTGATTTCTGTGAATTATGTTTTTGGCCAATCATTCTAAGGATAAAATATTATGTGACATCAACCACTGAAAAATGAACAGATAGTAAAGAACCGTGTTTGGTCACCAAGGGTGACTCTTAGAAACAGATCCTGCCTGATCATCAGTCACCCGCCTAGCTCCCCTCATGAAGGCAGGTGGCTGTCATCACCTAAGTCTTGTCTTCTCGTTCCTTAGTACTATATGCTTGACTCGGGAACTCCCCAGTGAGAGAGGGCAGGACTGTGGTAGGAGGAGCCCACTGTGTCCAGAGCCAGGGGACGCAGGTCCTGGCTCAGGCTCCACTTCTGCCATCGTCATTAGCATTCCTAATAAAGCTGCTAGGGTTACCACTCCCCATCAAGAACCTGCCCTGTGCTGGCCACCGCACCAAGCAGCCAAGTCCTGAATTCTTACCATAGCTCTCAAAGATGGGTACCATTTTTTTTTTATTTATTTTTTTGAGACAGGGTCTCACTCTGTCACCCGGGCTGGTGTGCAGTGGTGCAATCTCAGCTCACTGCAACCTCCACCTCCCGGGCTCAGGTGATCCTACACCCTCAGCCTCCCAAGTATGTGGGACTGTTACAGACGCCACCACACCCAGATAATTTTTTCTATTTTTATTAGAGATGGGTTTTGCCATGTTGCCCAGGGTGGTTTTGAACCCCTGAACTGAGACAATCCACCAACCTTGGCCTCCCAAATTGCTGGCATTTCAGGCATCAGCCACCATACCAGGCCTATGGGGACTGTTATTATCTCTATTTCACATGTAAGGAAACTATGGCTCAGGGAGGCTAAGTAACTTGGTGAAGTATTCACAAAAAGTAGTGGGGTAGCGTTCTGAGTGGAACCCACAGCCTGCGTGTGTCCAAGACTTGTCCATTCTATTCAAAATCTTATATATACATAAGTGCATGTATACACACACACATACACACATATTATATATCGATATATAACATATACATACACACAGCCACACACACACACATAAATATATATGTATGTATTTGTTACAAAAGCAATACAAAGCTACGTAAAAGACAGACGTTAGGGAAATATGTAAAACTGAGAGTAAAAATTTCCAACATCCACAAATTCCCCACCCCATATTCCAGTTCACTCTCCCCTTTGCCAGTTGCTGAACTCTGTGAATTTGGGGAGGCAGATCCTTCTGATTGTTTAAAAGCACGTGCTTCATGTTAGGCATTTTCGTTGTTGTTGTGTAAAAATGGCTTTACGCTATGTCTTTCAGCTTGCTTGTTTCACTTCACAAACATCTTGTTTTTATCTCTCCTTGTCAGCACATACAGAGGCACCTTGTTCTTCATTACATAAGTCCGTTCTTCCATCTGTGAAATAATGGGGCTGTGCTGGGTCTCTAAGGGCCCTTCCAGTCTAACGCTCTGCATTCCGATCTTCTATTTTGAAAGGCCGTGCTAATGACTTAGTAATTGGATGTTTTTGTTTGTTTGTTTCCTAATGGAGTGTGAAGAGCTCTGACAGTAAATCAACAGAATATCTGTAGTGAGAGGCATTGGGTGTTCCATGGCTTCCTGTGCTTTGCACACTGGCTCACACACGGCCTTGCATACATTAATGACCCAATAAATATTTGTTGAGAGAATGCCACCACAGAGAGCTTTGCTGAAGCGAAAAGATGGCATTGGCTGAAATTCATTTTGCCTTCTTTTAAGAGACCTTGGGCCACCCGATAACGTCTCTTAAAAGTACTTCTATGTCTTGAGGAAGCTGGAAAATCTTTGCTACTTAATGTTAACAATATCAATTTTAACCCTTCTGTATTGGTTTTAAGTTTGATTTTTGGATCTAACCAAGTTGTGTTTTAAAAAAAATTTTCTGTATAATCATAAAACTTTACTTGCAAAAGTTCCTCTTTATTATATCCAACTAATAGTCATCCAGGCTCCATTTGAGAGCATCTAGTGATGTAGATCTCTGAAAGTGAGGGGAGTATGCCATCCATGGCATCAAAAACGTGTTGACCAAAGCCCTACAGACCACCAGTGAGGAAGAATTCTCTTTTGGTCATCTTGGATCCATGAATTATTTGAGTTTGGGTGTTAGACCACATATGAATTATCAAGCTCATGCTACTCCATGTTTTTCCCAAGGATATCATCCATTCATTTAATCTTTCAGCAAATACATTCTAAATGTCAGAGGATAAGTGTTAGAAATCAACAATGAATAAAGTGTGGCTTATACTTTCCTCCAATGTACAGTCTAGTCAAGGAGACAGATGTAAACCAATAAACTTAAAATGCAAATGAATTCTGGTAACAAAATGCTACTCTTCTATCTCCTGGGAGAGAAGACTATAGAAGTCAAATTTGCATGTGGGTCTTGAAGGATGACTAGGAGAAGGAATCTGAGGGCCTTCATGAGATGCTTTTTAAAAAATCCAAGTATGCTAAAATGGTATCATTTTCCTGATATGAAAGTCCAACAAAGCTATCAGAATATTGAATTTGTCTTATTTTAAACAAACTGTTGGTAAACCCGTTCTGAACCCCAGGAATTTCTAAGCCTTTCTCTTTGAAATGTTCACAGATTATCCTTTGAGAGGTTAATTTTAGATACTGATGTCTAACTCATTATCATATCATGTATGGAATCCATATTCTTCCATCACACACTTTTTAAAACTCTAGCAGTTTTCGGTACTATCAATTCTGTCATATATTTACTAGATACAGTATATTTTTTGCCATAGCATAGGACTTGGTTTAAAAATTTATTATTTGCAATGATTAGACAAGTAAGTAGCTATATCCTTGTTTTTGTTGACCTTTTTTGTCCATAACTTTGACTTATTTAATGTCAGATTCTTGTTATGAAGCACTAGCCCCAAGTGTGGCATTATTCCTACAAGAAAATTTGTCTTAACCAGGCATGGTGGCATGCCTTGTAGTCCTAGCTACTCGAAAAGGCTAAGGTGGGAGCATCACTTGAGCCCAGGAGTTTGAGGCTATAGGGAGCTATGATCATACCATTGCACTCCAGCCTGTGCAACAGCGAGACCCTGTCTCTAAAAAACTTTAATTTAAAAAGAAAAGAAAATTAGTCCATTTCTAATGATTCATTTTAAGAAGCGGTTTCTGAGTTTTATTCTTGGCTGCAAGCAACAGAATACTACTCTCAATCACATTGATTGACTTAAGCCAAAACTCCAGAGGCACTGACTTCAGACATGACTGTTCCAGCAACTCAAATGACATTACCAAAATCCAATGTATATTTCTTCCTTTCTTGACTCTGCTTTCCTAGATTTGACTCTACTCTTACTATGTTCTTCCCTTGGGATCCCCCTGTAACTATCAACAATATCAGGGCAGTGGCTTTCTTATCCAAAAGCAACAGGCAAAGGGACAGTCTGCTTTCTTGACACATCTAACAAAGTCTCAGAATTGAGTCTCAGTCCTAACTGATCTAGGTTACCCATTTCTGACTCTATCACTGTGGTCAGGGATGTGCTGACTGCCCTAAACTAATCAGGACTCACCACTGGAATTCAGGAAAGGATCAACCCCATATAACCCTGTATAACATGATTGGAAAATTTGGAGTAATATTGGAAGCAGGAAGATGAAAATGGATGCTGGGAAGGCAACCATAAATATCTGGCTAAGAAATTTAGAAGAGTAAGAGTAAGAAATCAGCTCTCTCAATATTTTATATAAATTATAGTGTTCATTAATTTCACTCCTTCATTCAACAAATGCATATTAAGTCTCTGCCTTAAGCCAGACACTGTGCTTAGAGTTGGGCCACAAAGATGGATAAGATTGCTGTTGACTCAAGGAACCATGATGCCACGTGATGGCCTTTAAGTCCCTGCCCTCTCTGCTCCTTTGCTTTTCTTAGAAGCTAACTTCATGGCTCACTGAACTGTTTCCATAGAATAATCTTATCCCAAAGTACCATACATCTGCAGCTAATTCTTAAGTCTCAAGACTGAACACAAGAAACATTGATGAAGTCACTGAGAAAGCTTTGGTTTCAATGCTCTAAAAGAAAAGCTACTTTCACGTTCACTTAAAAATAATAATAAAGCTACATTCTAAACGTTAAGCCAGAACTATATAAACTTTTTGCCTCGAGCAGGCAAGTTCAAAAACCAACCACCATGATTATGCTCTGAAAGATTTTCTTTCTTAAGAGGCCAAGTGCCAATTAGGCAGTAGATGCAGTGGCTGACAGCTCTCCCTGGAGGCTCCCCTGGGCAGCAGGTCACGCAGGCATAGCTTGTGCCTGTTTTACAGATATGAAGTTTAGAGCCTCAGAACCCTGATCTACAGAATCCCAGCATCAGAATCACTTGGGAAGAATATTTATGATAATTATTCCTCAGCCTTACCACAGATCTCTGGATCAGAAAAGTGGGGGGATGTGCAATGTATCAAACCCCACAGGTTTCTCTTATACACACTTATGCCTGAAACCCCTCAGTGTGTGGGCAACTGTCATCTCCTCCTAGAGGTTTTTCTCAGTGCCATTAGACAAGATAATTAAATCCCCATTAAGACTTGACGTTCTGGCCGGGTGCGGTGGCTCACACCTGTAATCCCAGCACTTTGGGAGGCCAAGGCAGGCGGATCACCTGAGGTTGGGAGGTCGAGACCAGCCTGACCAAT